ATAAAGATAAAATAAAATTGCAGAAATCCAGTCTTGTTCACTCCAGATTCTATTACTGGCTATGAGCCCAAACCTATCGGCCTTTACAGACTTCTTTTTTTTTTGCATTTGTGACTAACTTGTGCTTATTAAAATATAATCACTCAATAATAAAACTAGCAATAGAATATTTTTTACAAATTAAGCAATTAAATTTGAAGTATAAAGATAATTTAATTTCCTCAACTGAGAACTACTAATGCATTAGAAGTATAAAATTTCAACTGTGGGAATTATACAGTAGAAATCCTTTCCTGGATGACAGAAAGCAGATTTCAAAAGAGCAACTTGAATAGACTCACATGTGTTTTTTTTGTCTTTTTGACAGCAGTAATAGCACTCACTGGCACAGCCCCTTGGTTTACAATAGTCTTTGAGGCACTGTCTTCCAAAGTGCTTCCATAAAAACGATAGAAAGTCTGTAGCTTTTGTATTTGTCTTCTCTCATGTGGATCTTTGGATTTTGCTGCAAACAAATACATTTAATTGAAAAGCACACTGGTAGAATTCCAGCCTATTCTATTTCCAAGAAAAGATACTTGTGTAACAGATAAATTTCCCCAAAGGCAAAATCCACATTTCTAAAAAGACTGGCTACTAAGATTCACTGAAATTCAACAGTACTTGTTATCTAGGACATAGGCTCAAATTCAGACTACCCTAAGCACACACCAAAAGCATTGCAAAACTTAATAAGCAGGACTCCTGGAAAGAGTTTGTAAGCATTTGAGCAAAACAGCTAGGCTTTCCACAGCGCATGGAACTAGACAGGTGTTCTCAAAAAACAATTCAGATGATCAGAAAGAGACCTTTGCCTCTAAAAAATAAGACTGTCACCCGAACGTAAAAAAATAACACTGCAGAAAAAAAACAAATGCTTCCTAAGGGAAGATATTGAGCACACAGACACTTAGGTACTCAGGCCTAGGTATTACTCACTCTTTCTGTTTTAAACAGAAAAGACTGAGGAGATGGTACAGACCGATGTTCAGAGTACTCAAGTGTGGTAGACATAGGCCCCCCTCTTCAGCTGGAGTGGATATAAACCTTCAGCTCCAACATTATGGAAAAATGCTCTAGCTGTTATCTGCAGGTTAAGTTGAAAGTGACTGCTCTCCAAATTTCCTGTTGACATCACAGTGAAGGGGGAAAGGCAAAAAACTGTGCATTCAGAAAAATGTTCAGAAGGAACCCTGGCTTCATAGGTCAAGTGATGCAAATGCCCACTCAGGAAAGAACATTTCTAGTCACTGAATGAAACCATAAGCAGCACTAACGTAGCAATAAGTAATCCATGACTTCCTGTCACCAAGTAGGTTTTTCTCAGCTTAACTGACTGTATGATGCAATAGACAATGGTAATATCTTTGAGAAAAAGACTTTTGTGTACATGCTGGTACACAAAGAATTGCACACTTCATTTAATGTAAATGTGCAAATCTAAGATCAAAACTAAGTCCATTGTTTGTTTTCCTTAGTGACTCAGACTGGTAAAAACATTCAGGAAACTATAATGTATAACATCAAGAATTATGATACAACCAACTTCTGCTTCTTCTACTTCCTTGTAACGCTATTCTCAAAAGATAGGATTGGCTATGCGTGCACCATGCAAACATCTGAGTAGATTACACACATGTATGGATTAGTTTAAAAAACAATTATCCAAATCATATATGTAAACATTAAATTGCACATAGGCTTACAGTTTGCTTATGCACAAATATAAAAGGTCTGTGAAGCCTTTTGTAAGCACAAGGGTGTAGATCACGAACATCTGACTAGAATCATTGTGTCACAGCTGCTAGAGCTATTCAATGTAATATACAATGCATACACATAATGTATAGATTCATCAGTTTAAGTATAAATGAGCCACTGCAAATGCTCTAGTTTGGCAAGTATTTATGCAGATGTGAGTATTTTCTGAAATGACAAGTCAAGCTCCAAAACTGTAATTACCTCGAAAATACTGTTCTAGCCAACATAACATATATGTGCTTTGATAGTTCTTACCATCAGCACTACACTGTGCTCTCTGATATTCCTCAGTCAGAGGTTTGTCAGAATGCCAGTGACGAAGCTCATCAAATTCTTTTTTAATTACTGAGGTATCTGCAGGATCATTGCTGAAAAATGCAAACATTACACCGATCAGAAATTCAAAGGGTTTTCTGGCATCTTTAATGAAACAACCAAAACATTTTACAAACTGGGTACTTATCAAAACACAATTTTACTGAAGCCAAAAACCAACATGGGACCTAATTTTATTCTAAATATAGCATGTCAAGATATTTTCAGTTTTTCAGAAAGAACTGCTAACAAACAAAGTAAAATTTCACTTTTTTATTTACTTTCATTCAACTTAATCGTAGAATGCAATGTAACTACATAACTCACAGAAATACCCTTTAAAAGATGCACATCTCTTTTCCCCCAACGGCTAAAAATTACTCATTGTGCAGCACGGAGCCCTCCTTCACAAGTAACAGGGCAGGACAAATGTAAAGGATAATCTGTTTGTAATTTTTATGCAGTACTTTTATTTGATATTTTTCTTTTACTGAAGTCAATTGCAACTTATGGTACTAAACCAGGCTTTTCAAATACAAATTGTACCTAAGAACAACAGTTCCAGTGTATAGAATAAGAGCGGTCAGACTGTAATGCAACCAAGTAACTGTATGAGAAAATATGGAGACACCGACTCTTACCCATTCTTGTTCTGAACTTTCTTTTAGCATTTACAATACTGTAAGTAAATGTGAAATCTTACCCAGCCATAGCAACAGGGCTTTTGCATGTCTATGAATTGAGCATAACATGGCTGCAAAGAGCAGGGGAGCGGAAAATAAAGCCAATATAACCTTATTTCTTTATTACAGAAGTCATATGTGTACCTTTCTACAACAGGTAGATCTTTCAAAACATCTCCGGCATATCCTTCAACAAGATCAGACTTCACTGGGATTAGTCCTATGTCAGGAATTTCTTCTTCACAGTCTTTATACCATTAAAAAAGGTCATTAATTCCACTTAATTAAAAATATATATAATTGCATATCATATTTCAAACTTCTGTCAAGTGAAATTTTAAGTGAAATTCAATCCAGTAAAACACGCTAACAGTAAGCGGTGGTTCACCAGTCCCCCAACATGGGTTCACAAACACGCTTGGGAAGACGAGCAACAAAGCAGATAGATATTATTACTTCTGAGGAGATGGTCTCATAATCTATTTTAGGTACCTATGTTAATTTTTCTGAATGCTACAATGCACCTCACCTCAGAGGCATCTGCTTTCCTGCACTGACCCCACAAACACTGCAGTCCCTTAAATATGCACTTTCAATTGCATTTAATGTTAGATGACTAAAGGAGATGATAGGTCACATTATGCATCCTTCCCACATTTGGAGTCTAGCACAGGTTCAGGCTTCAGGGTCTTCTCAAAAGACTTACAGGAACAGGCAGCACATAGGCTCCGCCAGAAGATGGCTTTATAGCCCACAGGTAACGAAAAATCTTTTTGCCTACTCAAGCGTCACTTAAAATCCATTGCAACCAGCTGAAAAACATTCATAAACTCCAGCAGAATTTTATTCTAGTCTAATGAATTTCTTGCAAACTGTCTCTTCTTAAGATGTATATAGTCTGATGTGTTTTAAAAAGACATTTGAAGGGTCTAACCAAAACTAGTTCTCAGGAAATGTCAAGTATCGGGTAAAAATCTCTGCCTATTCCTTTCAGATGCTCAGAACTGGTCTTGCAAGTGAAGAAAGGAAACAAATCATCTCTAAGCCAACCATGCACCTCCCCAGTTCTGGGCTACTGAACAGTGTGATGGTATACTTTAAGACATTTGGGGGCACATCACATTGCTACAAACTTCAAGGACTGCAATGTGAGCTACAGCAAAGCCTGCAATCTCCACCATCTGAGAGCTACAACTCCATAGTGAAACTCAAGCACTTTTCAACTTGATTTGTTGCTCCCATGCCCAATATCTGCATAATTTTACACTAAAGCCTTCAGAGAAGTTCCCTGGAGACAGTTTTACTGCAGAACAATTAAGTGCCACTTTCATTAGGATTAATTATGTTTATGACTATTATTATATGTTTTATAGTAATCATGATTTTTTTTTTTTTACAATATACACGATAGATCTGGCGTAGAAATCATCGAATTAAACCCAGTTCCCGCTTAAGGCAATGGCAGTGTTTGTGCTGCTACAGTGGAGTCAGAATTTCTCTGATAAGGCCTGGTCAGACTTATTTTAACATCAGTTACCAGTTACCAGTTTTGCTAGCGAGTTCAAAGGAAGTAGGAGAGGAGCCATGAAGCCTGCTTCATGGATTAGATTTGTGAATCAGGATACAGTCACACCACTATTGCTGCAGTTTTAGCAATAATAATGAAGATCAGGCTGCTAACTCTCCATTTTGTGGAGTTGTTAGTACCTCTAAAAAACGGCTGTTCCTGCTCAAGAAATAGCTGGGAGGTATTTCGTACTGGGAAAGCATCTCCGAAATCGTATTTCACAGCCAACTTGGTTACAGTGTCCCATAAACATAAGTACTCATTCTCCATTTCTTTCCCCAATTCCTTTTGGAACCTTAATCCTGCACAGAGGAAAAGAAAAAATGAAAATTAAGAGCTCTACAACTACAGTTTCCTCAGATAAAACCTACCTATTCACCTGTATAGCCTCAGGCATGAGGAGCTCAAACCTATCCAAGGCCTATGGGCATTAGAATAAACTAGGACAGGATGTTACACATTCACTGTTTTTAATAGGCCAGAGTATATACAACTAGATGTGCTGAAAAAACGTAATTTGTGAAGAGCACCAAACTTAGGCTGTCTATGGAAGTACACAAGCTCCCCACGAAAAAAAAAGCATTTCTCTCACCTTCCTGTTCTGCAAGGTAGGATCAGAAATTTCTTTTTAGCGTCCAATGACTAATAGATACTATTATACAGTTTTCAATATTTCTCATTTATATTTCCCTTAAAAATTCCTCTACATTTGCTTTACTGAGGTACGTACAGGAGATCTTGTCACTTGATTCATAAAGAGAAAGTTCTATTTGACTTTTCAGATAGACTGCGTGTGCTCAGAGCAGAGGATGGCAGGTAAACAGAATTACCCTGAAAGAATATTTACCCATATCCTGTTGCTCTGTCAGCTTTTTAACTTTTTTGTGAGTCCTAAGACATCTGATGGTGTTTTTAAATCTCCCAAATTCATCCATTTAAAAGATAGTATCAGATTTTGAATGAGTCTTATCTGAAACCAAAAAATTATCTGATGTCATAGTGACATTAGGAAAAGAATGTAGTCTCTATTCTGACTGTGCTGCACTAAGACAAAATGAAATGGATAGGAAGCTGGCTTAAAAAAAACAAACAAGCTGAGACTACCCAGTAACAGCGACACAGAGCTCTTACTACCTATGCTGTATCACTCTTCCTTTGCAGAATTATAAGTCACATATCAGAGAACTGACATGGGAAAGTATCCTGAGTAAATACTGGTGAGAGTTACTTGAATTTGTGATTTTCTACATTCACGTCTGAACAAAAAGTTTCCCTATTATTCCATAAAACTGATCAATTTTTTATACCTGGTAATGAGGAAATTATGCTGATATATGCTTGTACAAAAATTTCTGTTTTCATTTTGCAGCTTAATAAAGTTAGTAATGTAAGAAAGTTAAGTTGTTCAACAAAGATAAATACCTTTACAGTGTTCGATCTCATAATAATGTGCCAGGTTTCTGAGTAGTGAATCATCATTTAAGTCAGGCAGGTAAGTTAAATCCAATTTCCAATCATTTGTATCACTTAGGTGTGTCAGAACAAAATGCGCACAAAACTCATGCTGTTAAACCAGAAAATTAATTCTTATGGAGCACTTTTTGATGGGGAGGGATCAAAGCATCTGCAAAGTAAAGTAAACTACCCCAGATTTTATAGACAAGGAAAACAACACGCCGTTTTGTGACTTCCTGATGATTAGGGAACAGCTTGGTAGCATACTTTCAGCTAACAGCCTTCACTGCTCTCCTTTTCTGCAATAGCTAACTTTAATGTGAAGAACTGCTATCAGCATTTCCTTGTGGGGTGAGACCAAAAGGTCCATCTAGCCCAGTATCCTATCACTAACACTGGCCAACAGTAGCTACCTAAGAAGAGGTCAAATATACGGGGATATTGTCCCAAACATTCTCCTAGTCCCAGTGATACGTGGCTTCCTGAACCAGAAAGAGACTCTTCCCAGCAAGTACATTACATTCTTTGGTCTTATCAGAGGATTAAAGCATCATACCAATAAAAGCGTGAAAACCTGAAATGGCAAGTGCACCTGATGACAGGGGAAGTAAGACAGTGCTACACGTACCATCTTGATTAATGGTAGAACTCGCTTAGTCCAGCGGGATTTAATGATCCTAATCTGAGCTCTCTGTGAAAGAGGCATATGAAGAAGAAAAATCACTGTAAGACACTGCATTCTACAGAGGTCAGCTGCTTCTTCTGCAGATAGTGGTTTACTTTCTCCCTGTTGAGAGATGTAAGATAAAAAGCTAATTACATTCTTCATTAAAATAATTGTGTCCACCTCTGCTTAACTTAATTCAGTGATTATCACTTTGTTAAAGCAGCTAATAATTTTTACCTATTTACATAATTTGTGCATTATAATTCCTTCTGGATGTACCTAGTTCAAAATGTTCATTTTTGTAGTGCTGACAGCTGAGCATCAGTTATAATGTAAAAAAAAAAAATCTCATCTCCAAAAAGAATATAACTATTAAAATCAAGACAAATTTAAAAACAACTGTCAGTTTGTCTGGCTAGAAATGGTATTATTCTAAGAGTAAAAGTTAATATTTAGATATACATCTATGCTCTTTCGTCAGCTGCGCAGCAAAAAATCTGTACAGAAAACCAGCTGTGCTAACCACAAGTAGGTCAGGCATGCTGAAGAAGTATCTATGTCCTGTAGTCCACTGAATATGCTCCTCATACAGTTATCTTACGTATGTTAACTTAATGAAAATACAAGGCTTGCAGCATGGTCACAAAAATAATGCTATGACAGTGCGCATCTAGAAGGAAACCTGGGTAATCTTTTTTGTGCAATGTCTTGCTAACTTGAGGAAAAGTGTATTCTTCTGTAAAAGCTTCTATGCTACTGTATGTAAGGAAAGGAAAAACAATGAGCACCACTACCTCCTCAGGTAAAACTTTCCACGGAGGTAGTCACTCCTAGGGTAAAACAGCTCTCTGGAGGCACAGATAGGCCATGCTCCTTTGGAAAAGCCATGGCCACAGTAATTCTCTGCATCAAACCATTTATGGAGTGCAATCACAAAAGAAGCAGCTGGGCCTCTCTTCAACTCAGGATCTAGAAGGATAGCTATCTCTTCTATTAGCAAAATGGTTATGACGAATGTGCTGAGAGGACAGTTAAAAAAATACTTACTCTTTCTGATGGTTCTTTCTCTGCTCCCATGAAAGTATCTGCGTTTTTCAACACGCTGCTGTACATTTTTAATACCACTGCACAAGCAAGAACACAGACTATACGCCTAATGTCAGAACCTTCAGGCCATAGCTGTTTCAAGAGAACAATAGTCTGGCATACCTGCAGTCAAAATATTATTAACAGCACAAATTACTGTTATAATAAAAATTACAAATTATAATAAAAATTCTAAAAAGATGCATCAATCTTATCCTCTATATAATTCCATCAGACAAAAAAAGAAAAGGATACTACATCCCTGTCCTTATGGCCCCTGCGCAGCCATCGTAGGCCTGTGTCTGACCCCACTAACCCTCATCAGACTTGATCCAGATCCTGGCCTGCAGGCTGACGCCCTGGCCCTCCTGGCCCATCCCCATCTACCGTCTGATGCCCAGGGCTGCCCCCAGTTTCCCACAGCTGCCCTGCTCCCTTGTGGGGCAGTGGGATGGGTCTGGGCTGTGAGGCCTTACCCTGTAGCCACCAGAAGCCCCTGCCGCTGCTGGCACCTGGCAATGCCAAGCCCTGCGATGCCCTGATACTTTTCTGTTCACGGTTTACCTAATTATTGAACTTGCCTCAGGAAAGACAATTATAATAAAATGAAATATTATTAGCAGACAGGCAGCCATGTTTCTACCGACTTTAAAATGCTTTGTGAGTAACCCTAATTGTTTCTAGACTAAAAATTCAGCTTGCTGGACCAGTATCATTCCCACTAAAGTCAAAGGAAATCTTGCTATTGTTCTGAATAGGAGCAGAACTAGATTAACAACATTGCGGTGTAACTTTGACGTTTAAGAAAATGGAATGGGTAGATTAATCACTAAAGATAACTACAGTACCATGAAAACACCATATTTTTAGGTTAAAATACTGTAAAAGCAGATTAAAGGATCCATTGTTTTAATCAACAGTGATTAAAACCGGCCTTGCAACTATAATCCAGCTCTTCAAAAAATATCCCCAATTGTAAATACTTTAGTTAAAGGCAGTGTGCAAGCCTTGGCAGCTGCAACAACTAGATTTAGATTTTGAGATGTCCCCACAGGTCAGGTTGCTGCTGGCAGCAGCAACTTTCATCTGCAGCTGCTGAACATATCCTCCCTCATCCTAAGCAGAGAGCCAGTTGCTGCCATGGAGGCTGAGGCAATGGTCACACGGCAGCAGCAGTGACTCCCTTGTGCAGCACTGCACCTACAGACAGAGCTTTCTGTTGAACAGGCTGGTTCCCATCTTCTACAAGACAAAAGAAATCAGCAAGTTGGAAGCATCCCACAAGACGGATCCCACCAACCAGCCCCCAGTCAAACTTTCCTACTTTAGTGAACCTGAAGAAAAAAACATCGCCTCAAGCAGCTGTGAGGAACACTAGATAAAGAGAGGACATTCGTGTCCTCAAGGTGTCACTTTAGCATAAGAGAAAGAGCCCCCAGTTCTGACTAGGAGAGAATTTTAGGTATAGGAATGGAGAAAGATAGTCACCCTGAGGGAAAAAAAAAAGAAAAGAAAAAAGAGGAGCTACCTCTTTTTGCATGCTTTTCAGGCTCAGCTTGAGATGGCCATAGAGACATAGGGATGTTGCTGTGTACCTGACTATCGTTTCACAGGCATGTCGCAGATTCTGTTCATGCTAAGAAGTGCAGAAGTCACAAAGTTATACGCGAAAGTCAATAGTCCCTGATGCATTTTATCTATTAGCCATACACAGATGGAAAACAAATTTAGGTATATATCAAATCTCAGCCTACAAGAAACATTTCTTCTAAGTAAAATTTCATTAAACATCACAACCCTGGACTAAACTCTAGTCTTGCCTGTCATATTACAAGCGAACTAAGACAAGGGCTACTGAAGTTATGGGAAAGGTTGTAGTTGAGACTAGCGGGCTTTTTATCATATCGAAAGTGATTATCAATAGGGATGTCAAATGGGAACATCAAAAGAAAAAGGAGACACAAGAACTTGTGTTCCAGTGGATAAAACATGAAATACTACAGGATTTTACAATACATATTTAACATTATTTTCAGTAGGGATCAAAAGCTGCTTTTTTATGGAAAATAGAAAAGATAAAAACATTGAGGGTCCAAGTCAGTGACCTACTTCTAACCTTACAACTAACTTACAATATAAACTTAGATAAATATGTCAGCTACCTTAAAACAACATGTGAAATTTGAGGACACTACGGTTTACTTCTGCTAGCATTACTTAACACAGAGTGATCCCACTGCTTTCAGTTGGACTGTATATAGGATATGGCATTACATAGCGAAATTCAGGGGGGACTGAACCACTCATTATTGAATGTAATTCGCAGTCCAGCCTGATCAGTTACATTAGAACTAAATAGACTGAGTAATGCTTTGGGCCTGTCACACCACTTGCCGCCCTCTGCCAGGAGAGCTCTCCCTAAGGTCCAGACAGTGCTGAGCGGTACAGGCTGGAATGACACTGAGGAGATTGGGGCAGGAATTACAATAGTTGCCTGTTAAAGATTTCAAGAGCGTTAAATGAAAGATACATAAACTGAGCCACTTATCACTGCTTTATAATTTTAATATGTAAAATACAATATTCATATTGAGATCTTTTAACTATATCAGGTTTGTATAACTGTAATACTATGACTGCAAACCCACAAAGAAGTTGTGTAATTTACCTTTTGAAAAAATAATCTGTGTTTCCACAAACTCTGAAGATGATATCCATAAACTCTAAGAGTATCATATTCCTGTCCTGAAGTGAGCACAACGTTGATTTTCTTCGACAAGGAATGAGCAATAAAGATACATAAATAGTTTGTTTGGAGAGAGGTCAGTCCTATGTCAGATATTATGATGAAATAAGGATAGCTATTCTTCAGGAAAATCTCCCATTCTGATGATAAACAATTGGAAAACTCTGTATGAACACGGATGCCTGTGTTATGCTTCAGGTGTTCTATTAATGCAGTACGCAGGAAAAGAAAACGAGGATACGCAAAGTACATCTGCTCTGCATCCTGTTGAAAATTAAAACAATGTAATTACTCAGTTACATTCCAGTGAGCAACATTCAAACTCAGTTTTCATAAGTACTGTGCAAGCATATACTCAAATTCTATTTAAAGTTTGAGTGTCATAATGCTGTTTTATTTCACATGTCATTAAGGTTCCCTTGTACACTACTAGTAATTTTGCACCAGTCACGTCAAGTAAATTCAACCAAAAAATAATGTTTAAGGTAAAAAAATCTGTGAAAAATAAGTAGATATGTCTACAGACAGGTGCATTTTTATATATATATATACACATATACTTAAAAAAAGCTATGTCAAAAGAACACCGAAGCTGTAAAATCAGATCTCAAAAGTTGAGAAATGAGAGATTAAGATTTCCTGTGAAAATCTTATTAGACTATTTGGCAAACGCCTACTACGCTATTTTTATTTTATGACTGTGTTTCTATTAGACAACACAAACACATAAAGAGATGAGTCGGATATGAGTGGTGTCAGCTGTACTAGTTTTGATTTGTATCTCTTGGTGCTGGAGACAGCCTGAATAAAAAAGGAATAATCACAGATCAGTTATGTGCTGATGCATCCCCCCTCCCGAGTTCTGTAGCTGAACCATGAGATGGACTAAACCAAGGAAAACACCTTCTGCACCTTTTATCTCTGAAAAACACAGACCATTGTGCCTTCTGGTTTGTTTTCCTCTTTAAGGTATACAAAAGGGATGAAGGACCAGCAAATAAGGACTTTAAACGCGGCTGTATAGAAGAGGAAGCACTACAGAATAGTTCTAACACTAGGCCGTCCCTAGCAGTGATTCCAGATCCATTCAGTTGCACTGCATTTGCAACGTATGATTACTACCCATTTCCATTTCCTCCCCCATACGTCACTTCAAATCTACTTTTTGGTTTCCATAGAACTATCATTCTTCCTAATAATTTTTCTATGACAGGACAAAGCTATTAATTTTTAAGTAATCTTAAATACGTTTATAGAATTCACACTATGCATGATTCAATGAAAGCATTGTTAAAACCTCATACAGGCCAATATGGATCTGTCATTCTTTGGACATTAATGGCTAGTTGTGCAGCAAAAAATCATGTTAATTATAATACATTACTGAATTTCTTAAAGTCTACTGAAAAAATGAAAATAAATCTCATACAAGGAAGAGGCAAAAAAAATCAGAATGTGGTCACATTGAACAGATCATTTCCTAAACTTGGTTAGAATCAGACAATACCTTTTGAAGAAGTGCAGTGGTTTATACAGCAAACAAATAACGTTACTTGTTCAGTACCTTGAAGAAAACAATGACATATTTTGCTCCTTTTTCAGTGAAATCATGCAGAAAGCATTCAACTCGGTAAAAGAAAGTTAGACATTCTGTTTCCTTGCATAACCACATGAGAAGTAAGGAATCTCCATCTATCACAAAAAATTCAGACTCAACGAAGTCTTTTAATAGACTGACGTAACTGAAAGAAAAGGAAAACAGCATGTACATAATGTTTCTCCAAAACAGTTAGGATATAGGACAGAAGAAAGTTGCTTACTAAGAGATTTTAAAGGAAATGTTTTGGTTAATTAAATCAATTACACATTAAATGCATAAGTAAAATCTATAGCAAACCATCTTTCTTGGATCTAAAGTTAGTCATAAATAGTTTGCAATCCTTTCAATTATTGAATGTATTACTATTGTCTCCTCTAAAATTCTGGACGCTTCTGTAGCATCTGAGGCCTCTGCAACCTCTGTGGCAGCTCTTGCTCACGTCTGCTTATGCACGTGCTTCCTGTTCTACAAAAGAAATATCCCACAGGAGACAACCGCAAAATGGATTTTGAGAGCATTTCTGACTGTTTCCATACAAATATAGCAAGTAGGATATCAACAACTGTCACAACAGTGACAATTACCTCCCTCCTCCGAGGAATGTCTATGGCATGAAAAGTACCTTTACAGCATGAGCATTCTAATCATAATACATTTCTTCAAGGGAGGAAAGAACCAAAAGACTCCTTCATCGTCTTCCCATTTAAGAAAACTATTTATGAATGTTAATAAACTTTGCCATTAAGCCGGTCTTAGGCCAGATCCTCCTAGTCTTAGGAACAAATCCTCTTCAATGAGGAGGTGACAGATATAAATAGGCAGCACCTAAGTAGTTTTGAGTACTTCCTAGTAAGTAACTGTGTTCTTCAGATGCCTAAATATCTATGAATGTCCAGGGGCACGATGTTTGACTCAGGACAGAGCAAGCAGACAGAAGAACTTTTGCAGGTCCAGATAAAGAAGAGACAAGTCGTTTCGGTAAAGCTTCTCCATTTCTTAGTTTGTCTATGGTATCCCATTCCTAACTGTCAAGACACACCAACAGCAAACTGCAAAACTGTGCGGGATTTTTTTTGCCAGAAGACTGCTTCAGTTTCATCTGCAGAATCAGCACCTGAAAGAAATGTCAATTCTCCCACTGGAAAAATAATACTATCACATATCATAAGAACATCCATGTTGCAACGGTAAAAAGGTGCTTATTTTCTTCAAGGCTGTCAAAAGTGCCTGATACACCCCACCCTATATACTCACCTGGAAAGACCCAGCTTTTCTTTCTGACTGGGATCAGTATCCTCTGTTTTTTGTTATGCTGGCTTAGTCTGATATTCAATGCAATAAGTAGCTTTCCATTAACCAAAACTATGCAAAACTCTCTTATACACTTAAATTAACCGCCATTTATTAATACTAATCTCTTTGGCATGTCAGCTCCCGAACGCAGAGAAAGCACTTCACTGTCAGTGTGAACTGTGCTACTGCTAATCCTTTCCATACCAAGCAGGGAAAGGAATCAGAACCTGCAGACGCAGATCATGCATGAGAATAGTTGTGCAAAAAACACAGAAGGTACATACGAAAAGGAAAACTGTGAAAAAAGAAGTAAATGCCATAACAGTAGTAGCCTTAAAAGAGGTGGGGAAATATGCTCAAAATGCTACAAAGCATGCTAGAGATTCTGAAAAATAATAGCAAAAGTTACAATTGCAGATTAGCTCCAAAAACCTGCAAATAATCCTTAATCTTTGGGTAGACGTCCTATTATATTACGAGGCTTCCTTCATGCGGCTACGTCTCCTGGTTTTCAACAAACCTAGGTGACAAACACATAGCTGCTCTGAGGGGTACTACACTGCAATATCTACTTAGTTCAAAGAAAACACTTTTAAATTATATTTATATTTCTTTCAGTGAACCTCAGTGCACTTACTCAGCTCGTGATAGATATGTCCAAATGTGTAGATTCAATTTCTCCAGAAATTCAGGTTGGTTTATTCTTTCTAAAATAATTAGAATAGTTTAGAATAATTTCTAAATATGAGTTAGGGTTATTTGTAGAACCATACAACCGTAACTCATCAGTTAATTATGAAAGAGCCAAGGGTCTTGGCTCAACACTACAACAAAAGCCAGAGACACGAGCATAAGCTAACAGTATCTCCTCACCAGGACTTTGGGAGTCACATCCATCCTGGAGAACTCTGAAATCCTTGCCTTCAGTTTGTGATGCCTGCTGTGTTACCTCTTCACTGTTTGAGGTACTACAAAAGTTACTGTAATCTATGTCTTCAGCTTCTTTTTGTCTGTCTTCCATTTCTTTAAGCATCTGCATAAAGGTTATTTCTTCTCTATCATTGATCTCATTCTCATCATCATTGCCACTTGCACTCCCGCTCTCTTCATCTTCCTTTTTAAACTGTTGCATTAAGCCTATTTCACTACTGTCCACAAACTCATTGTCTTCATCATCGTTACTAGCACTCTTACTGGCATCATCATCATCAACCTTCCTGAAATTAGCTTCTGCAGAGTCCATCACAGATCTTGTTTCTAGTATCTAAAAAAGAAAATTATAGGTAATCAAGAGGTAATTTGGGGGAAATATGGTATCCTCTTAGACTTGAACCATTAAATTATCTACCTCACAGCTACACTGGAATAAAACTTGAAGAAAAATCAGAAACCATTTTGTGAACATGTGAGCCGTATTTTCATTTTCAAATCACTAATTATTTTTGTGCAGTATAAGGAACATATCATCTTTTGTCTTTGCTGAAGTTTATCAAAGACCATTAGTTTAGCAAGACCATTACATATTTCTTGGGTGCTTTGCATGAAAGGACCCTTATTTCAGGGGGCTTAGACATCATTTGTTATTTTAGCTATATTTATATGACATACTTCAAGGCATCCCTGTTTCCTGGTCCAAGAGACTTGTATCAACACTGCTCATTTTAGTCCCCTCTCAAGTAGAATGCCCATATCCTCACTGCATAGTGCTTGCAGTGGTGGTGGTTTGGTATAAATTCTACTTCTTAATTCAAATTTAGCTTTTTTCTTCATTTTTTTAAGGTGGGGTTCTCAAATCTTGAGTAAACAGTCAACTATAAAGATTAAGCTACCTCCCTGCTTTATAAAGTCATGGTCTTGGGTTCTTTTGAGCAGAACAACAAACAACTTGGGATAAGCCTGCTTTTTCCCTACTCCGTCACCTCAGTTCTTTTAGCATAAGAGCCCGGTTTTCTCCAGCTTCCGTTCAGATAATAGGCTCATGCAGTATTTATCAATGAAACATTTGCCACTGCAATATTCATATGCCTTAAATATTGTTATCCTTCACTTTCTTGAGACCATGAAAGGACTGTTTCCTCTTTAGATGAGATTGTACAGCAACTGATACAAAACTCTTTACAAAGTGAAAAAAAATTCTTTGCATGCTTTTTCAGGGTCCTTAGAATTCACTTTTAGTCTTGCACATTTTCTTAAGGAAAGAAAGAAAACAAAGTACAGCCTCCGTTTTTCAGATTTCATTGACTCAATCCAAAACTAAGCTGAAATTCTCATTTTGATTTTCACCTTGCCTTAGTTTAAACAGCTAGGAAATGAAGTTGCAGAAAAAGGAAACAAAATACACTTGTATTAACTAGCTGTAAAATACTGTACACATAGAGTGCTATATTACAGTGGTGTGCTTTATAGTTGAACTTTAATGTCTATCTTCATTAAATGTAAGCAACCTATATACCTACAGCCACATAAAGCTCACTTTTTATGCATTTGCCTATGTATTTTATGTCAAGGAAGGAATAAGCCTGAAACTTTTCTCCATTTTCTTATTTAAATTGAAAAAGGTATATCAAAGCCTTGAGATTCATTGAGGCACGAATGCATATATTTGCATGCTAAAATTGTCATTCACCTAGGAAACTGCTGTCCCTACTTCAGCAAGCTGCTAATCGACGGTTACTTTACACACCTGGAACCAAAAGCCTGCTGTTTTGAAAGAAAGCAGAACTATACCTGCACATACTCATGTATGGGCCATTATATTTCCTGTCCAAAAAGTCTTAAAAGCCTTGCTACATTGACCCTTTTCTGCGTTGCACGTTTCAACATCTGAAACGTCCAGGGCCGTGGGACGGGTCGGGGCAGCTGGATAGCTTGGACACCCCACCAGCAACGAGCACACCGCTGCTGCCCCTGCCCACCCGCTGCCCTTACAGAGACCACCTTGTCCCAGGCTTGCCTAAGGTGCCCACAGACCCATGATGCTCCCTTGCATCCTGCCCAGCCACCTTGTTCACCCCAACCCCAACTCCAGCTGCAACTCCAATGCTAATACCAGCCCTAATTGCAACCCAAACTCTTAACCCTAACCCCAAAGCCAGCTCCAAACTCCAAACCTAACCCCAACCCCACTCCCAAAGTAAACCCAATGCAAACCTGAGCCCCAATCCCTCCCTCAGCACCAAACCTAACCATAACCCCAGCCCCCTAACTCTAACCCCAACCCTAACCCTAACCCCATCCCAAGCCCAACCCTAAACTCAACCCTCAGCCTCAATTCTAACCCAAGTGCCAGAAACAATCAAAGCCCCAACCCAGCTGCCACTTCCAACCAAAACCCCCAATTCTAAACTCAACCAAAAAATCCAACCATATACCTAACCCTAACCCAACCCCTGCCCCAACCCCAACTCTATCCCCAACCCTAATCCAACCCAAGCCCGGGCAGTACCTGCCTCCGCTGCTCGCTGTGCCGCCTGGCCCACGGCCACAGCTCCTTTATGGCCCCGCTGCGGGGGCGCGCCCCCGGGCCCGGGCGGCCGCGGGAAACCCCGGGGGCCCTGCGGCTCCTGCCTGCCACCCCGGGTGCCCTAGCGGCCAGGCAGCAGAGGGGAGAGCTGAGCCCGAGAGCTGCTCATGCGGCCTCTGGAAACTAGTGGAAACTGATGAAAGGGAAAAGACAGTCCCCAACCATCATTTAGGTAAAGAGTAAACAGGGAAAACTTTGAGAGATGGAGTCAATACGATGCTACTAGAAAACTAGGTCCCTGACTACAGCACTGCAAAGTGTCATGTGTATCTGCGTGTTTATTATGCTTTTCAGTTAGTATATTGCAACTTCAACTAAAAGTCTTAAGTACTGCATTTTTTTAAAGTGCAGGCTTTTTTAAAGATTTAGGTTGCGTATACAGTGCCAAGTATATTATCTCCTAGTTCTGTCCCTTTATCCACCACAAGCTACAATTTTTACAAGCCTGTTTTATTAAAGTAGGAAATTCCATATGAAAAGAAACCAACAAACCTATTTCACTCAATTTTTTAACATTCCCAGAAACTCCTTTAGCAGAAACAGCACCAGATCCCTATCACTTCAACTAAAATGGTGAAGCCTCAATTCACATGGGAACTTGGGTACTTAAGTACTGTTGAAGTCAACATTTATGAAATTAGTAGATTTAGGTATCATTAGGTCTTTGTGAGAAGCAAGAAGCCACAGTCCTCCTTAGATCACATACTAGTGCACAATACAGCACAAAGACATTGCAGGGCTTACATATGCATAAATAATCCCATGAAACCAAACAAGTTTTTAACAGCCTTTCTGGAAGATAGCTGACCTAACATTTACCACGTAAGCAGATCAGAAGTTCTTTCACAGCTTGCATTTCCTTTGAGACCTGCCCAAAGATTTCTGCAATTCAGGAGAGAGCTATCTTTTACAGCGCAGTAACACACCCACAAAGCCAGCATTGTGTTATATTCTGTGCCGTTCAGCTCAGCAAGAGAAGCCCCTGCTCCCAGGCAGCACGTTTTCTCCTCCCTCCCTGTCCACCTTTTGTAGATAAGGTTCTAGGAAATAATTAGAACTCCTCATTTCCTGCATTCCCCACATTAAAGGGGAAATGATGTTTAGTCAGATCCTTCAACAGGTTTTTATATACCTCTTCATTAGGTCCTGAAGGAAGGCCCTTAGACTCATCTCTCCATCTCTTCGGAGGATGTATTTTGGTTCATAAAGGTATCTTTTAGATCTCCTACTACTCACCTTAGTAAAAGATAGACCAGACTTGACTTTCCTGAGGGATTTTCAAATAACGAGTAGGAGAAATCCTCACAAAAGTTGATTCAGATCTTCCAAAGAAAGAAACAAAGAAGTGTTAGAGAATCATTTAATTTTTAAGGCTAAATCTAATAAAAGGTTCATGTATCAAATAGTGTTTTCATGCCTGTATTGCTGTCTGTCTTTTAGATTT